TAAATGTCCAACAAAGATAGAGACTGGATAAAGAAAATGTGGTACATATACTCTATGGAATACTATGCATTCATAAAAAGGAATGAGATCATGTCTTTTGTAGAAACATAGATGGAGCTGGAAGCCATTATCTTCAGCAAACTAATGCATGAATAGGAAATCAAACACTGCATTTCCTCTCTTACAAGTGGGAGCTGAACAATGAGAACACATGGACACATGAAGGGAACAACACACACTGGGGCCTTTGGGGTGAGGGAGGTGAGGGAAGGGAGAGCATTGGGATGAAGATCTAATGCAAGCGGGGCTTAATACCTAGGTGATGGGTTGATAGATGCAGCAAACCACCATGGCACACGCCTACCTATATAACAAACTTGCATGTCCTGTGCATGTATCCTGGAACTTAAAATTAAATTAAATTAAATTTTAAAAAAAGAAATGCAACTTCTCAGGTTGTAACCCCAGAGCCCTGAGTCAGAAACTCTGGGAATGGAGCACAGTGATAGTGGCAGGAGGCAGCCAAATGCCTGAAGCCAAACCTGAAACCAAGCTATAAGTCAAATTCACAGACTGAATTGAGAACCTGTCTTCCCATTTGGTGCCCTTTCCTCTGATTGCTCCCTACCCTTCACCTATTTTACATACTTAACCTCCCCTAATTGGTTTTTTACACTGTCATGCCCATCTTTGAGTGGTGCCTTTGTTTTAAAATTTTTCCCATACTCACAAACCAATCAGCACACACTCCCCGTTCTGAGCCCATAAAAGGCCTGGACCCAGACACACTGAGAGAGAAACCACCCGATTTTGGGTAAGGGACCACCCTCATGTTCACCCTCTGCTGAAAACTGTTTCGTTGCTCAATAAAATTCTTCTCCACCCTCCTCACTCTTCAGTTGCCAGCGTGACCTCATTCTTCTTAGATGCAGTACAAGAACTTGGGACCCGGCGAATGCGGGTACACAGAAGGCTGTAACAACTGTAGCCCTCTGCCCTCACCAGTGAAGGGCAACTGCCCCACGTGACAGAAAGCAGTGGTGGGGATGAACCAACCCTGGAGCCATGAACCAGAGCAGGGTTAGGGGCTGACAGAGCTGTTAACATGCTGTTGTTCATCATGCTGCAGATGATGGGACTAAAAGAGCTAATCTTCTGAGGCTTCAGGGTCAAGGGCACTCCTGCCTGGGTGCCACTGTATTCCCCTTGTCTGGACACCAGAGTCCACTATGGGAGTGGCTTGTGACATGCCTGGTCTAGCCACAAGCACCAAACAGAGCCCACTTCTGTGCCAGCACTTGGAGAGGCCAGCTGGACCCTGCACTCTCTTGCTCACACACCACCTCTCACCATGGGCTGAGTGTGCAGTTGCAGCCACTGTGGAACCTGCACCAGAGTGCAGGTGGACTCAGCAGCCAAGCATGCTGAGTGGATGGCGCATCTCCTGCAGTGACCCAGGGTCTGAGTAAGGCCCAGACAGGGGCATTGCCAGCTGGAGGTCTCCACCTGAGAAAGGGACTGAGAAAAATCCTACATCAACAGTAATTTGTGTTTTAATGAAACTTCCAGGAGGTTCTGATACACAGTCAAATTTGAGAAGCACTTTACTAGAAATGCATGCTTTTCATCCAAAAACATCCATCACCTCCAAAGGTTTCTTCCTGCCCTCTTTATTTATTTATTATTGTGCTAAGAACACTTAATATAAAATTTACCATTATAGCAAAATTTTGCAATATAGTATTGTATACAAAATTATGCAAAAGTATTTATTATCTTTTGTGATAAGAACACAACATAAAATTTACTTTCTTAGCAAAAGTATGCAATATAGTATTGTTAATTGCAGACATTATGCTTTTTCAAGTAGATCTCTAGGACCTATTCACCTTATACAAGGGACACCTTGTACCCTTGGACTACTACCTCCTAACTTCCCCCTCACCCCAGCTCCTAGGGACTACCATTTTACTCTCTGCTTCTACGAGTTTGACCATTTTAGATTCATCATATCGGTGGTATCATGTAGTATTTGTTCTTCTGTGTCTGGCTAATTTCACTTAGCATAATGTCCTCCAGGTTCATCTGTGCTGTCATAAATAACAGGATTTCCTTCTTTTTAAGGCTGAATTATATTCCACTGTCTCAGTCTGTTTGAACTGTTATAACAAAATACTGTGTGGCTTATAAACAATGGGAATTTATTTCATTCAGTTCTGGAGTCAGGAAAGTTCAAGATCAAGGTGCCAGCAAATCTGATGCCTGGTAAGTGTCATTTTTTTCACCGTAACCTCAGGAGAAGAAGGGCGATGAATTTCTCTGGGGTCTCTTTTATAGGGGCACTAATCCTACTAATCGTACTTATGAGGAGTCTGCCCTTATGATCTGATGACCTACCAAAGTTCCCACCTTCTAATATTTGGGGGTTAGGATTTCAACATATGAATTTTGAGGCACACAAACATTCAGACCACAGCACCATAGGGCACATATATTTATACACCACATTTTCTTTATCAATTCATCTGTTGATGGACATTTAGACTGCTTCCATATCTTGGCTATTGTGGACAATGTGGGAATAAACATGGGAATGCAGATGTCTTTTTAAAATCCTGACTTCAGTTCCTTTGGATGTATACCCAGAAGTGAGATTGCAGGATTATATGGTAGTTCTATTTTTAATTTTTTGAGGAACCTCCGTTGTGTTTTCCTTAGTGGCTACAACAATTTCCATTTCTATCAACAGTATCCAAAGATTCCCTTTCCTCCATATCCTTACTAGATATTAACGCATATACATTTTCAATAATTAAAAGTGGAGGCTTTGACTTGCAATTCTGATGGGGTAGCTTGCTATAGAACAATGCTCCTGCCAAGAAAACAAGAAAAGCCAGATAAAACACAAAAACCATCTGTTTGAAGGCATTGGTGAGCTGCCAAGAAAAAAGAAGATAATGGAGTGATATCTTTAAGTGCTGAAAGAAAATAACTAGAATCCTATAGTTGTAAGCAAATAACAGTGTGGAGCAGAAGAACCGAATAAAGCAGATAATGTCCCTACAGAGACCATTTCCCCCTTGCAAGCTTCCCTCACTAGAATTATAATCCCAAAGGCCTTTGCATTCAACTTTTATTTAGGACTCATCCTTAGGGTGGAGTAAAAGGGAGACAGACAGCAGAAGGCTTTAGTGTTGCTTCTGTGCCTTACCCCTAGAAACCAAAATCCCTTTCCCCTGCTCCTAGTTTTTGTTCTTTTTCTTTTTAACCCCAATTGGGATACAGGGAAGACTACAGTTCCCAGGGTTGTGGCCATACTCTATGCAGAAACAGCTCTGGAGAATCAGGGCAATTCTGCTGTCTTGTAGAGCTACTTCCTTAATTCTTGTCTCTGTTTTTGTATATCCCCCTGGGATAAGTAACATGGGGACTTCAGTAGCTCAGTCTTTGGAATCACCTGCTAAGTATTTTTAAATGGATCAGAGGGTGTGACTTATCTTTACCCAACTTTTGACGTAAGAATTCACTCAGTATTCCACTTTCCATCTTAAATGGGTCTGTTCCAGTTTTGTTTTAAAAAATTTATAAACTATTATTGCCCATTTACCCACATGAACTTTAGCATCTCAGTATTGTACACCTTCCCATTACTAATTCTACCAAATGTACAAGTTTATTTGTAGACAACATTTATGATATTGAGTATTCTGTATCCAGAAGCATGGTATCTATTTTTATTAAGTTGTCTATTTTTATTACTTCTGGAGCTTTATTTCAGTTGGTTCTGAATATTTCAAATTAAGTTTAATCCTGCATATTTCAATTATTTTTGTCAGTAGGCTCTTTTTACAATTATATGTTCTGCATTGTTGAATATATACAAAATCTTTAATGTTGTATATGCCATTTTTAACTCATTATCTTAGTAAATTTTTCTTAGTTCATTTCCTTTGGTTTTCTAGGCAAAGATCACAAGGAATCATACCTTTGTTGTGTCATTTCCAATAGTTATCCAACTTAATTCATTTCCATGGCTTGTTTTTTCTAAAACTTTCAGAACACTGTTAAACCATAGTTGTCACAGTGGTTATCCTTCTTCTCTACTTCTCTTTAATGGGAATCTCCTAGGATTTTATGATAATGTGTGCATGTTTCTCACATTAAACAAACAAAATTATCATCCTATTTCTAAAAAATTTATGTCCAGAACTAATATTAAATTACAGCTGCCTCTTGAACAATGCTGGGATTAGCAATACCTTACCCCCATGCAGTCTCAAATTCACACATAACTTTTGACTCCCCTAAAACTAAACTACTGATAGCCTACTGTTGACTGTAAGCCTTATGAATAACAGTCAATTAGCACATATTTTGTATGTTATATGTACTATATATTGTATTATTGCAATAAAGTAAGCTAGAGAAAATAAAATGCTATTAAGAAAATCATAAGGAAGAGAACATATATTTACTATTCATTAAGGGGAAATGGATCATCGTAAAGATCTTCATTCTCATCATCTTTACATTGAGTAGGCTGAGGAGGAGAAAGAAGCCATACCCTGAAGTTCTGCTTAATTCATCTAATAAATATCTATTTCATACATTCTTGTAAAAGGTATTTTTCTGTCATTGAGATTCCTTAATAAATAATACAGACCTAGTTCCTTTTCTTATGGAGCTTATGCTTTTACAAGGGAGATGACAAGTGACCATATAATCATTATTTAATTACAAACGTAGTGAGTGCTACAATGGCAAAGCACTTAAACTTCTGTTTTTGTTTCATGTCTTATTGAATCAGCCATAATTTCTAGAAAATCATTACCATAACTTTGTAATAGCAGTGATGCATGTAATTTTCATGTTTCTGATTTTGATAGACATGCTTCTAATGTGTAACCACTAAGATAAATGTTTTTTGAGATCATGTTGAAGAATTACATATTTATTCCTAGTTTTCTAGTATGTTTTCCCCTCAAAAAAATTATGTTGAGATCCTTTTGTGATTTGTAAACTTGATGATTGAGCTTTTATGCTTAGGCGTGAGATGTGCCTCCCTCATATCTTGTTATGACATTTGTACATTACCCATCTGATTCGAGAAAAATAAAGAAGAAAATAATTATGTTGAAAGTTATCAGATGCTTTTTCAGCATCTTTTAAGATTTTTAGGGGGCGGAGCAAGATGGCCAAATAGGAACAGCTCCAGTCTCCAACTCCCAGCGTGAGCGACACAGAAGACCGGTGATTTCTGCATTTTCAACTGAGGTACTGGGTTCATCTCACTAGGGAGTGCCGGACAATCGGTGCTGGTCAGCTGCTGCAGCCTGACCAGCGAGAGCTGAAGCAGGGCAAGGCATCGCCTCACCTGGGAAGCGCAAGGGGGAAGGGAATCCCTTTTCCTAGCCAGGGGAAGTGAGACACACAACACCTGGAAAATCGGGTAACTCCCACCCCAATACTGCACTTTAAGCAAACGGGCACACCAGGAGATTATATCCCACACCTGGCCGGGAGAGTCCCATGCCCACGGAGCCTCCCTCATTGCTAGCACAGCAGTCTGTGATCTAACCTCAAGGCAGCAGCAAGGCTGGGGGAGTGACGCCCACCATTGCTGAGGCTTAAGTAGGTAAACAAAGCCGCTGGGAAGCTCAAACTGGGTGGAGCTCACAGCAGCTCAAGGGAACCTGCCTGTCTCTGTAGACTCCACCTCTGGGGACAGGGCACAGATAAACAAAAACAAAAGCAGCAGAAACCTCTGCAGACGCAAACGACTCTGTCTGACAGCTTTGAAGAGAGCAGTGGATCTCCCAACACGGAGGCTGAGATCTGAGAAGGGACAGACTGCCTGCTCAAGTGGGTCCCTGACCCCTGAGTAGCCTAACTGGGAGACATCCCCCACTAGGGGCAGTCTGACACCCCACACCTCACAGGGTGGAGTACACCCCTGAGAGGAAGCTTCCAAAGCAAGAATCAGACAGGTACACTTTCTGTTCAGCAATATTCTATCTTCTGCAGCCTCTGCTGCTGATACCCAGGCAAACAGGGTCTGGAGTGGACCTCAGGCAATCTCCAACAGTCCTACAGCTGAGGGTCCTGACTGTTAGAAGGAAAACTATCAATCAGGAAGGACACCTACACCAAAACCCCATCAGTACGTCACCATCATCAAAGACCAGAGGCAGATAAAACCACAAAGATGGGGAAAAAGCAGGGCAGAAAAGCTGGAAATTCAAAAAATAAGAGTGCATCTCCCCCGGCAAAGGAGCGCAGCTCATCACCAGCAATGGATCAAAGCTGGATGGAGAATGACTTTGACGAGATGAGAGAAGAAGGCTTCAGTCCATCAAACTTCTCAGAGCTAAAGGAGGAATTACGTACCCAGCGCAAAAAACTAAAAATCTTGAAAAAAAAAGTGGAAGAATTGATAGCTAGAGTAATTACTGCAGAGAAGGTCATAAACGAAATGAAAGAGATGAAAACCATGACACGAGAAATACGTGACAAATGCACAAGCTTCAGTAACTGACTAGATCAACTGGAGGAAAGAGTATCAGCGATTGAGGATCAAACGAATGAAATGAAGCGAGAAGAGAAACCAAAAGAAAAAAGAAGAAAAAGAAATGAACAAAGCCTGCAAGAAGTATGGGATTATGTAAAAAGACCAAATCTACGTCTGATTGGGGTGCCTGAAAGTGAGAGGGAAAATGGAACCAAGTTGGAAAACACTCTTGAGGATATCATCCAGGAGAACTTCCCCAACCTAGTAGGGCAGGCCAACATTCAAATCCAGGAAATACAGAGAATGCCACAAAGATACTCCTCGAGAAGAGCAACTCCAAGACACATAATTGCCAGATTCACCAAAGTTGAAATGAAGGAAAAAATCTTAAGGGCAGCCAGAGAGAAAGGTCAGGTTACCCACAAAGGGAAGCCCATCAGACTAACAGCAGATCTCACCAGATCTCTCGGCAGAAACTCTACAAGCCAGAAGAGAGTGGGGGCCAATATTCAACATTCTTAAAGAAAAGAATTTTAAACCCAGAATTTCATATCCAGCCAAACTAAGTTTCATCAGTGAAGGAGAAATAAAATCCTTTACAGATAAGCAAATGCTTAGAGATTTTGTCACCACCAGGCCTGCCTTACAAGAGACCCTGAAGGAAGCACTAAACATGGAAAGGAACAACCGGTACCAGCCATCGCAAAAACATGCCAAAATGTAAAGACCATCGATGCTAGGAAGAAACTGCATCAACTAACGAGCAAAATAACCAGTTAATATCATAATGGCAGGATCAAGTTCACACATAACAATATTAACCTTAAGTGTAAATGGACTAAATGCTCCAATTAAAAGACACAGACTGGCAAACTGGATAAAGAATCAAGACCCATCAGTCTGCTGTATTCAGGAGACCCATCTCACATGCAGAGACATACATAGGCTCAAAATAAAGGGATGGAGGAAGATTTACCAAGCAAATGGAGAACAAAAAAAAAGCAAGGGTTGCAATACTAGTCTCTGATAAAACAGACTTCAAACCATCAAAGATCAAAAGAGACAAAGAAGGCCATTACATAATGGTACAGGGATCAATTCAACAGAAAGAGCTAACTATCCTAAATATACATGCACCCAATACAGGAGCACCCAGATTCATAAAGGAAGTCCTTAGAGACTTACAAAGAGACTTAGACTCCCATACAATAATAATGGGAGACTTCAACACTCCACTGTCAACATTAGACAGATCAACGAGACAGAAAGTTAACAAGGATATCCAGGAATTGAACTCATCTCTGCAGCAAGCAGACCTAATAGACATCTATAGAACTCTCCACCCCAAATCAACAGAATATACATTCTTCTCAGCACCACATCACACTTATTCCAAAATTGACCACATAATTGGAAGTAAAGCACTCCTCAGCAAATGTACAAGAACAGAAATTATAACAAACTGTCTCTCAGACCACAGTGCAATCAAACTAGAACTCAGGACTAAGAAACTCAATCAAAACCGCTCAACTACATGGAAACTGAACAACCTGCTCCTGAATGACTATGGGGTACATAAAGAAATGAAGGCAGAAATAAAGATGTTCTTTGAAACCAATGAGAACAAAGATACAACATACCAGAATCTCTGGGACACATTTAAAGCAGTGTGTAGAAGGAAATTTATAGCACTAAATGCCCACAAGAGAAAGCTGGAAAGATCTAAAATTGACACTCTAACATCACAATTAAAAGAACTAGAGAAGCAAGAGCAAACACATTCAAAAGCTAGCAGAAGGCAAGAAATAACTAAGATCAGAGCAGAACTGAAGGAGATAGAAACACAAAAAACCCTCCAAAAAATCAATGAATCCAGGAGTTGGTTTTTTGAAAAGATCAACAAAATTGACAGACCGCTAGCTAGCAAGACTAATAAAGAAGAAAAGAGAGAAGAATCAAATAGACGCAATAAAAAATGATAAAGGGGATATCACCACCGACACCACAGAAATACAAACTACCATCAGAGAATACTATAAACACCTCTACGCAAATAAACTAGAAAATCTAGAAGAAATGGATAATTTCCTGGACACTTACACTCTTCCAAGACTAAACCAGGAAGAAGTTGAATCCCTGAATAGACCAATAGCCGGCTCTGAAATTGAGGCAATAATTAATAGCCTACCAACCAAAAAAAGTCCAGGACCAGATGGATTTACAGCTGAATTCTACCAGAGGTACAAGGAGGAGCTGGTACCATTCCTTCTGAAACTATTCCAATCAATAGAAAAAGAGGGAATCCTCCCTAACTCATTTTATGAGGCCAACATCATCCTGATACCAAAGCCTGACAGAGACACAACAAAAAAAGAGAATTTTCAACATCCATGTAAAAATCCTCAATAAAATACTGGCAAACTGGATTCAGCAGCACATCAAAAAGCTTATCCACCATGATCAAGTGGGCTTCATCCCTGGGATGCAAGGCTGGTTCAACATTCGCAAATCAATAAACATAATCCAGCATATAAACAGAACCAAAGACAAGAACCACATGATTATCTCAACAGATGCAGAAAAGGCTTTTGACAAAATTCAACAGCCTTTCATGCTAAAAACACTCAATAAATTCGGTATTGATGGAACGTACCTCAAAATAATAAGAGCTATTTATGACAAACCCACAGCCAATATCATACTGAATGGGCAAAAACTGAAAAATTCCCTTTGAAAACTGGCACAAGACAGGGATGCCCTCTCTCACCACTCCTGTTCAACATAGTGTTGGAAGTTCTGGCTAGGGCAATCAGGCAAGAGAAAGAAATCAAGGGGATTCAGTTAGGAAAAGAAGAAGTCAAATTGTCCCTGTTTGCAGATGACATGATTGTATATTTAGAAAACCCCATTGTCTCAGTCCAAAATCTCCTTAAGCTGATAAGCAACTTCAGCAAAGTCTCAGGATACAAAATTAATGTGCAAAAATCACAAGCATTCTTATACACCAGTAACAGACAAACAGAGAGCCAAATCAGGAATGAACTTCCATTCACAATTGCTTCAAAGAGAATAAAATACCTAGGAATCCAACTTACAAGGGATGTAAAGGACCTCTTCAAGGAGAACTACAAACCACTGCTCAGTGAAATAAAAGAGGACACAAACAAATGGAAGAACATACCATGCTCATGGATAGGAAGAATCAATATTGTGAAAATGGCCATACTGCCCAAGGTAATTTATAGATTCAATGCCATCCCCATCAAGCTACCAATGAGTTTCTTCACAGAATTGGAAAAAACTGCTTTAAAGTTCATATGGAACCAAAAAAGAGCCTGCATCTCCAAGACAATCTTAAGTCAAAAGAACAAAGCTGGAGGCATCACGCTACCTGACTTCAAACTATACTACAAGGCTACAGTAACCAAAACAGCATGGTACTGGTACCAAAACAGACATATAGAGCAATGGAACAGAACAGAGTCCTCAGAAATAATACCACACATCTACAGCCATCTGATCTTTGACAAACCTGAGAGAAACAAGAAATGCGGAAAGGATTCCCCATTTAGTAAATGGTGCTGGGAAAATTGGCT